CCCCAACACCCCAAAACCCCAAAACCCCAAAACCCCAAAACCCCGCATGTTAGGATTTCTTCCAATTTTAAGGGGGAAAAAAACAAATACTTGATAATTAATATGTTAAGATAGAAAAAATTACTACATCCATTGATGTATAATAATTCAAAAAGTTAGATATTCGAAAGATTACAATCTAATTTGATTCTTGTGCTGATAATGTCATTAGTAATATATTTAATGCTAATTTTGGTTAAACTGAACACCTCCTCTTTGTAGCTGCTACAATAATTGCTACTATTAAAGTTAGGCATTGAACTGCTGGTCAATTTAAGGTTGCTGAATTTACTATAGAATCATTTAGTGAGGACCTAAATTATAATGCTAGCCTGACCCTTACTTCTGCATGCTCATTAATTATGGAGGATTTTAGGTAAAGTATCCTCCCTAAGTTTACATTTAAGGATATTGCATGTTTTGTTGAGATTGTATTTACATTATTGCCTAATCTTGTTAGAATCCTTGTGATTGCATGAGTCTTATACTATCCTCTACATGATTTTAAATGGGCTTCATACTCTGTTATTGAAGAGCTCCATAAATATTGTTTTGATCGATTCCAGAAGCTTGCTAAAGAATTATTTGTTGACCGCCTAGTTACTGCATGAAATTTTAAATTTGCTATTAGCCATTCATAACTAGTTATTGCATTTGATTGTTATACATCATGGGATCTTATTATTATTGTAGCTGTTGCTGTTGAAAGTATAACATTTGGTCAGAAGGCATATTTTACTGCTACTATGGCATCATGATTGTTTATTAGAGTTGCTAAGGCATTTGAATAAGCTACATAGTAATAGGGTCAAGAGCAAGCAATTATTAATTTTATGGATATTAGAACATAGATTATTACATTATCTGGGGTTGTTGAACTTAATTCTGCTAATTTATAACAGCTTATAACGTTCTGAAATCCTAATTTTAAGGTGTGGACATTGGCTATGGAGTTTTGATAGTTGGTATCTGTTATATCATCGTCTAATTGGCGTTCTATTGATTAATCAATTTATCTCTTATCAATTATTAAGAATCTAAAGGCTGATTAAACAGGTTTTGTGTGAATGATGGTGCTTAGGGAGTCACAGTTCTTTGAATTTAAGGTTGTTAAGGATTTTATATTAGCTAAGTTTGAAGTTGAGTTACCTTTTTAAGATTATTAAGATTTTGAAATCCAATGTTTAATCCTCCATTATTGATTGGTTGAAAGCCAACACTTTAAGCTGTTGAAATCTTATTTATTAGTGGATTTGCACTAGCAAATGAAGATTAGGGCCTTATTTCTTTATATTTATTGAAAAGATCCTTGACATTTTAATTGCTTGGATCAAAAGTATCTTTTGAATCTGAAATTTATTGATCTTTCAGTAATTACTTTCTCATTTTGTCATAATTCAATACCTCTTTATTTCTATCTGTCTCTGGAATGAATTCCTCATCCCTCTCATCATCTTAAATACGATCTTATTCTTCATTCTCTTAGAAATCTGATTCCTCAATAGCATCTTCTTCATCATCATCTCTTTCGAGCTCGTTCTCTCTCGATTTTTCTTTTCGTGATTTAGACTTCTCTTCGATGAAATCATCATCACTTTCAAAGTCTTAAATGAATTCTTGTCTGTTTATAAGCTTTTTAGATGCTCTTCCTGATGCAGTAATACTGACTACTACGTGCTATTATTAATTATCTTGACTATTACTGTTTGAAACTTTAGATCCGTATAGCTTGCTTGGAACAATCAATTACTTAGCTTTCTTTTTAGTGCTAATTTAGCTGTTTTAAGAGCCATTGTTCTTTTATTTAGAAATAGCAGATTTCTCAGGATTACTACTATCCTTATTGTTTTATAACGTTTGGTTTTCGGTATCCCTTTGCTTTTGCTTATCTTGAAGCTAAATAATACGATTGTTTACATTGGAGGTCTAGAGCTTTTGGTTGATGAGACTATCGATTTCATCCGCCTTTAGCCCACCGAACAGACTAAAGGAAGTAGCAATTTGTGCGGGTTTTTGAATGGTCTTACCTTCTCCCGATGATTCCAAATTCAAAAGATTCTTCTAAGCACTACTCTGATTTTATTAGATTGATGCAGTCTTGACTGACACTGGAGACTTGAAGTTTTATATTTGCAGTACAACTTTTGATGACTAGGGTGGCTATAGCTGTTGCTAGAGTTGGGGTTAAGTCACTTTGTTTGTGATTTACGTATGCTCTTATTATTATTACTGGATCTACGTTTGCGCTCCCTCTTAAATACCTAATAAATAGATAAGTCAAACTTGAAATTTTTAAGTTAGAATCATACCAAGCTATAGGAGGCGAACATCATTGAATAAAGAATTCGTGTTACAATCTTGGCATGGACAGAGTCCTTTACAACTTAAACAGATAAATGCATCTTGTTGTTTTAGCTTTTGGAATTCGGTCTTAGGAAAAATGACATGTTGGGAAAATTCAAGAGCCTTGTCCTATTAAGAATTGCATCTTTGCTTAATCTCCCTTAGCATCGCATCATTAAGTTCTTCAATAGAATCCTTGTGATGTCCCCCAATCCTTGAATTTCCTTTCTAGTTAAAAAATTAGTTATAAAAAATAGATAGTGAGGAAGTTTTGATGGTTCAAAATATCATGGAAAAGAGGATAATGGAACTTACCATTTTATTTTTCCTAACGCAATTAAAACAAAAGAATAAACCACAGTCATCTCTCTTGCATCTTATTAGATCATCGACGCTCTCTGTTCTTCTACATTGATGACAATAGTTAAATCCGAAGTAACTTGGCTTTTTTCTATTTTCCCTTTGTGGTCTATTTCTAGTCTATGGAATTTATTCTTCTAAAAATTATTACCTAATGAATCTAGGAATTCATAGCTCCTTTGTCTTGATTAGCACTTAGCTGATCTTCCTTAATTGAGTCTACTCTTTATCTGCCTTTTATCTAATCTAAAGAATTCTGGCTGCTCAATTCTAATCTCTACTAGATGATCCCTCCAGCTGTGCCTACTCCATTATTAGCTCCAAAACCCTCTTAGGTTTAGCCGAAGGCTATCTGAATTTTTGAAATCTGGGTTTAGTTTACTACAGGATTTGAATATTTCTATTATGAGGCTAGTTACCTCTGCACTATTCCTATGTTACTACTCCTCATAAAATCATCATAATTTATGTCATTAGGATTGGCTGTCACGCTTGTAGTTTGGTATCCATCTTGGTGGCTCTGTAAGGCAAGTCCGTTTTAAATTTTGGTTATAGACTCTTGTTCCTCCTAATTACTCAATGTCTAATTGTTCTCCTTTGATTCAGTATCGCGAGTTAACTCTGACTCGTTTGCTGAGGTTTAAATATTGGGGGAATATTTCTACTTGGATGGTATTTGGTCCATAGGAGAAAGGGCTTCTCCTTTTAGCTATTAGGTAACTTTGTTAGTGTTTTCATCAGAAGATTTAGAGTATGAAATTAGTATTTCTTGTGGAGGAGAGCTGCTGGATCTGGGGTGATTCAAATTTGGCTGCAAGGATTGTATAAGATCATGATGAGATTCTCCTGATAAAAGGGAGGGGTCGTTGAATACTCGCATTTAAACTCTTACGTTTTAATTTTCACACGCAATCTAATTTTATTACTGGAATTCTTTAATATTCATTTATGTAAGAGTCTCTTTATCGACTTAAAGAATTGAGGAATTTTCGTTTTGAATGGGTTGATTCATCATAAGCTTGGCGAAAAGTGCAAGTTATTATACGTATACAATAAAATATAAGACTTTAGAAAAGCAATCAGATAAAGACTTTAATCAAATTAATATTCTCGTTGAATAATTATTAAAAATGCTTGAAATGCCTAAGAGACTTGCCTCTTAGAAGTCTAATTTGGACGCTAATTTCCTCTTTAGACTACTAAGTTCACAATCTACTAGATATACTCTTTAAGAGCCAAGCTAATATACTCGATATAAAACAATAGGATCTTTTCTAGGCGTAAAAGAGTGTCTATATTGTGATACTGATGCATCTGACAGTGTTGAGATTAGAAATTTGCTCATGCTTTGCGCTACCAAGGCTACTATCTAGCAAGAGTTTTACAATGTCAAAAATATCAACAATATCCTTTATAATCGCTAAGTGCATCTAGTTTCAGTCTTTAAAGATTACTTGATTTACGATGATATCTGCGAATTCATCACGGCTTATTACAATATAAAGGAAGCAAAAAAGCTCTTTGGGAAATTAGCATTGAATGAAAGTGAAAAACAATAATAAGCTCAAACGATTGCCTTCACACCTAATTATCACAACCTAGAATTAAAGCATCTCCTATTATGAAACAACAGATCGAAGCGAAAGATTTATGAAGATAGGATCAAATTATAAGCATTGGCTAAATTAAAATAAGAAAAAAACAACAACAATTTGCTAAGTATTAAATAAAAAGATTAATGAGACTCAGCTAAAAAGCCAAATATTTTAAAGTTTGAAAAACTACTTAAATCTTCTTTGATGCATGAATATAATTTTGCCTCACTTATAAACAGCTAACAGTACTCAAAGAGATTTTAAGAGTCTCGCATGACACCGTTGTATCCTATTTTAAGCCAAAATCCTTAAACAAACATGAATAATTCTCATGCAAATGAGTAACTATAATAAACTCTGTCACTCAGTAAGCTATCTATGTCCGAAGAACTGATAATAAACAAATAAGGCAGAAGAACATTAGGTGATTAGAATTAAGAGAACGAGAAAATTTATGAATTTCTAAATGGATCAACTAGTTTAATTTAGTCCTTTGAACTTGATGGCTCAGGAGAAATCCAACACAGGACCATCGATCATGCTGACTTATGTAATCAAAGTCCGATAGGAATCCGTGATGAGCAGAAAAGGATTAAAATCCCCAAAAATATTAATATCAAGAACTATAAAGGGCCTATCATATAGAAGATTAAAAATAATGGCTTAGAAATAAATGATTTAGAAGCCAAAATAAGGTCAAGATATCAGGAACTTGATCAGAAAGATTCGATAATATCTTGAAACATAAACTCCAATATTTCACCCTCAATTTAAAGTATAATTTAAACATAGTTTCAAAGCAGTCCTCAGCTGATAAGTAAACAGCCAAAGAAGAAAATAGTAGTAAAGATTGATAAAAAATCTGTGAAGGAAAATGTTTTGAAACAAAAATATGCATCGAATAAAAACATAATGAATAATGATAATTTTAATTTAAGGACTGATGATAGAATCTCATAATTTGATATGAACGAATCCTCTCCAATTTCAATGCTCCCTAAGAAAATTTATTCAAATCATAAAAATTAGTAGTCAATCAGCAATATCTCTTCATAGTCAAGTGTTGTAATTGGGGCAAAATCAATGATGCCTTAGAGTGGGCAAAACTTAAATAAGAGTAGGAATATAAATCCTTTGTCATTAATGGGAACAATAGATAGTGCTAGGAGAGTAGAAATAGAAATAACAGATAATTTTAAGAATCCTATACCTTTAGATAAAGACCGATTAATCAAGAAAAATAAGAAAATAATGAATAATGTCATCATTAAAAGTAGAAAAGGCTCTTATGGTGGAGCAAATGCTTTCGGATCCCTAACTGGCTTGAGTCCAATCCAAAATAAAAAATAAGATTAATTAAGAATTGGATAAGATATGGCTTCAGCCAGAAACAACTATGAAAACCCAATAAGTAGTATTCTTTAGAATGACTAACAGTTGGTTCAAAATTAAATGAACTCCAGAAACCAGCAGATAAGCCTCACAGTCAAACACTAGACCACTAAGACAATATAATTCAACGATAGAGAGCTATAGTTCGGTCAAGATGGAGTTATTCATAGACATTCCTAATCAATTTATTAAAATAATATGGCCAATAACTAATTATCTAATTCTGTCAATAATTCCGAATCATAAATGAAGAAATCTGGAATCTTGCAAAAGCTTAAAGTTAATAAGAGACCAATCATAACTCTAAAAAAGAATAAATTCTCGGAGCCTCTTTCGCAAATAAATGAACAACATATTCAACAATAGCATTAAAGTCCATACTAGCAACCATACCCAGCCCCAATTTAAGGGTCTTTGAGGAAAAGTAAAATGGAAAGATATGGCTTATCGTAAATGAGAGCTAGGAATCATAGCTATGGCGGAAGTGGAGATAACATTAACGTTAGAAATTCTATAATGGAATTTAAGATGCCCTAAATAGTTTAAGCTGAAGTTAAATCTAGCTAGCAGCAAAGACAAATGAAAAAGAGTATGTAACTAAATAACATTGTGGAGAATAATGAGGAAATAATTATCTAAGATCAACAAATACATAATCATAATGGTTATATCCCCAGTCAACAAAATAATCACAATATTCTGAGACAGAGTATCATTGCTAAGCCACCAAAAGCTAAAGCACTTCCGCCTCCCTCACATAAAAAGCAAAGAGACTCATTAGCATCCAATAGTATAGGAGGTGGTCCAGGTGGTATGTAAGCCTTTCAAAATATAAATAATAATACTAGCAACTAAGTTGTAAACAATAATACTTCTCAATAATCTTTTCATTTTAATAATAGGCCTAGATCTTAGATGGATCTTTGAGTGTGAGTTTTCTAATAAATTTTCTTTATTATAATTGAGTACTTAATTTTCTCTTTTAGCATTGATAATGGTGTTTATTTCTTCACGGGGTTTTGGGGTTTTGGGGTTTTGGGG